CTCTGCTCTGCTCTGCTCTGCTCTGCTCTGCTCTGCTCTGCTCTGCTCTGCTCTGCTCTGCTTTCTTTTCTTTTCTTTTCTATTCTCTCCTCTTCCCTTTTTCGTTTTATTTATTTATATTATTTTCTCATCCTTTCCTACTTTCTTATCCTCCCTTCACGCTCCTTATCTTTGTCTTTACTTTTTAGTGCAACTTTTAAACAGATCTGGTTCATAGCTTAATGACAATATTATCATTCTCTCACTGCATCTTTATAGAATACAAAACAAATCACAAAATTTCGTGAAAAATGCTAACCTTTGAGCTTGTTCACGAAATCACCTAATGTTAAAGTTAATAGAATTATCCATTAGAAATCATTAATATGAATTAATATAGATAGAATAATTATGTGTTATGAGAATAGATTTCTTGATTAGTTAAGCTTGATTCTCTTCGTCTTTATCCCATTCTTTTTCCATTTTATGCCCTTTTCATTTTCTCTCCCCCAGTCCCCCCGCCCCCGATTCATTTCCTTAAGTGGACCTTTCTCCAAGCCCTCACGTTCGAGCGGAGAGCCTGGCTCCCCTGACTATTAAACTAAGAACCTTTTACTTTTTAGGACTTTTCCTACAGCCTCTATAATGTCATTATTTCTCTTTTTTTTCCAATTATTGGTTGGACCCTTAATGGATTTTTTACTGCAATCCCCACTCACACGTGACCAACTGAAACCAAAATCACAAACGAAAAATTGAGTTTTGGTGGACGTCAATCAAAAGGGTTTCTTAACATGTCTAAGGATTCCGACTCCGAATTTCAAACGCAAAGCTAAAGGTATTGACTTATCTGATCTTAAAGAAGATTAAATCATAGTCAATACCGATAACTTTGCAGTCAAGCCATTGAGATTCGGAGCCGGAATCCTGTGAAATTTTTGAGAAAATATATCCAGAGTGAGAAATTCTCAGCATGAGATAAGAGCAACGGTTTTTGCACGTGCGCACGTGAGTATTAACGCCAGCCCTGGTGTAGAAACCAATAAAAACGATAGGAACCCTTTTGATTGACGTCCACCCAAACTCAATTTTTTGTTTGTGATGAAGGTCTAGTTGGTCGCGTGTGACTGGGAATCGCAGTAAATGGTAAATTGTTGTTGTTTCTGATTGTTTAAAGGTACATGACTCATGAATGCAATCCCGTGTTTTTTTACTTACTGTTATAGATCATGTTGGAGAGCGAAGTTTCCAAGTCCACGATGCGCGAAAGAGATTTGGTGAACTTAGATGGCTTTAAAAAGAAGAGAAGCTCCTATCAATGTTTGCGATACATATTTTTACAAAGAATAACTTACAAATTTCTCGCGCGATGATTGGTTGTTTCTTATCATCAATAAGAGGACAGACAGATAAAGCCGACACCAACGAGCGCGCACTCTTTCCGTTTTTTGATTCGATCAATAAAAATGAGAAGTTTTCAATCGTTTTTATTATTTTAAAAAACAAATAGACATTAGTATGTATTTTATATGTCTGTTCTTKTATTGACGATAAATTTCGTCATCACACTGTCATCGGCTACACCCCGTGGATCCACACTACTTTAACAAGACGACATAAAATAAAGAGTTCAAATACTCACTGATTGGCTAACCAGCCATTGGACGAAGTCGTACATCTTTTCCTAATTATGAAAATAAATCAAAAAGGCTTTCATTGATTTTAAGAAATTTTTGAAACAATTTATAGCATATTGCTACTTCTAAAGATAAAGATATTAAGATTTATTGCTCAAGCTCTGAGTCGTATGTGAGTAAAGTCAGTGATTGTTGGTTCTCTCCTGTTCTTCGAGGGCTTTTCGCCAGGTTCTCTGGCTTTTCTCCCTCCGTAAAAATAAACATATCAGCCAGGTGAGTTGCAGTAGTCGGTAGTAGTGTTTGTCCGAGTAAAAGTGCATCAAAATGGCGGAAATGAACTGTTATGTCTTATGAATATTAATCATCATGTAACCTGAGCGCATGCGCAGTAGTATGTTAGAGATTGAACCTCGTGTAGCTCTCCGCCATGTTGTTGGCTAAATAAATAATTGGATTCAGAGTTCTAGAGTTCTTCTTTCGACTTTACAGACACAGCATGAACCCAATATTGATACGAGATATACTAACCCTCTATGAACCAGCTGAGTTGCTCGTTTCCCCCGAAAGGAATTATTAACTATTCAACTTTTTTTGGTCCATATCAAACAATCAGTGTCGCTTTCGCGGGCTTCCTGTGGTAAACAGCCTATCAAACAACGGTCACCCTGTGTCTCTTCTCCAGTCTTTTCTTGGACAAAAAACAAATTGGCCGACGTAGAAATGTGTTTTCACTCGAATTTCTGTAAGTTTGGATAAAATTTACCTCAAAAAAATGGTATTTTTTGTGATACAAACGTACCTTAAACTCCAAATATGGTAAGTAGTTTCCATATATGGACATAGAAAATGGCTGAGCAGAAACGACACGTTTTATAGAGCAATTTCTTGCTTTTACATAACACTTTTGTATGAAGGAATAAAAGTTTTGTTTCTTCTGTACCGTTATTTTTTTCATTGTTTTGTCAGTGAGTGGCACGCAGAATAATGGGAAATGCTAATAAAAATAACAGGCCGAATTCTCAATTCTAATTGGTTGAGCTTGAGTTAGTTCCGAAGGTCAACTCAGCTGGAAAAGATTATTAGCATCATTGCATCGTCAACTTGTAAGAGAATGGCGTTTTATGAATGTTAGTTCTAATAGTTCCTCTTTCGCATTCGATGCATACCGGTCTCTTTGAAAACCACAGACTCATTTGCACAGACTTAGCCTCGTTTATAAGTCCGGTATTCACAAATACCGTAAAAAGTCTGTGGGATTTAAAAAACATTGGTATTGTTCAACTTGCACATTCTTTACATTACACAGTTGACTTTTGCAAATAATTTGCCCTTAAGCAAGGTTAGGCCTGTGCAGATTAGTCTTTAGTCATGTGTCACATCGGTATTTGTATATAATCACGTGACTTATTCTTTTTCTTACGTCGTGATCTTTAATGCTTCTTGTTTCTTGGACCTTGGGTTTTGTTTCTTCAGGAGCATTGATGGCGCTGAATAGATTCTCTAATTCTGTAAATAAATCATAGCGTGGTCAAGTCTAGGTCACAATTGGTGGCCTGCGATGCATCCCTCTTCATGAGAATAAAAAGACAAATTACGTGGCTGCTATTAACATTACAAAAGACACCAAGACCAAATATTTTGTCAAAGATCAGCAAAATGGCGGCTATGACGTCAGATATCAATTTTTTTACATATCATGGGAATTGAAATCTTTCTTATGTAAAACGATTGCTTGTTCCTGTCATCTAACATGGCTGCCGTCAGATGATGATGTAAAACCTCTATTGGGCTGGGCCCGGTTGTATGAAGGGTGAATAGCGCTATCTGACGGATAAATCTTATCCAGTGGATAAACTGATTATATAACAGCATCGACTTATCCACTGGATATGTCAACCGGGCCCTGGGGAATAGACCCCGGAGATTGACATAATCACCATGGTAACCCAGGGAGCCGTAGTCGGGATGTGGGTCTTACGTCATTGTTAGTGTTTATAGTTGCCGTTGTATATGTCGTTCGTTACCTGCCCTGTCCGCATCAGATATCTTGGAATCCCCCTTCCAATCGTCACGAATGATATACCCTGCAACAACACGTCTTTTATAAGATCAACACCAAAGAGCAAAAGACCTTTCTTGAATTCACGTCAATGACCAGGAAACAATGGTTCCAAGCTGAGGATAGACTTGATGTATTCATACATTTACTGTATTTTATCAAGCTCAGCCTCTACTTGCAGCATTAGACCTTTCTTGAATTCAATTCAGTGACCAGGAAACACTGGCTCCAAGTTGAGGATAGACTTGATGTATTCATACATTTACTGTATTTTATCAAGCTCAGCCTCTACTTGTAGCAAAAGACATTTCCTTACTTCACTTCAGTGACCAAGAAACAATGATTTCTTATCAAGTCCAACCCCGCTATCTTGTGTACAACTGTTTCGTGTTCACTCAAGCAAAGTTCCATACCACCAGAAGCAGCAGTGTCATCAGTACTTACCTTTATTATCGGCTCCATTATCATCAAATGATCTCTTTTGCTCTGCGACAAAAAGAAAGGAAATAAGATAAGTTCGATTCTTGTCAACCTTTTGAGAAAAGTATGCCAATTCTAGGCAGAGACTGAACACTCAGGGCAACAACGTGGGCACATTATATTTCATTCGGGTGCTATGGTCATTAAGTCACAGGTTTAATGTCCTCCTGAAGCTTTCAGAACCATACTCTTAAATGAAGGAAACTGTCCCTAATTCGATACCTCTGGGTTTTTGGCCAAAGACATGAACAAGTATCAATTGCCCTATTTTATAATGACGTCACATCAAAACAAACTATTGTTTTAACGCTATAGGGAACATGGTCACTGGAGGGGGATGGGATGACAACAACACATCTTAAATCACAATGAAATTTGGTTTATGAGCTGTTGAAGGCAAGAACAACTAAATATTACGCTAAATATCTCGAAAGAAGAGAATTAAGCTTAAATTTAACCTAAACTTCTATCATTTTATCCTATGTAAACAAACTGTGACGTCATTATGAAATAGGGCAATTGATTGACGGAAGGCAAAAACCCGTGGTTCATTATTTTCTTACCATTCTTTGTGTTAGCAGATCTTGAGAGAAGAGCCTGGAAGAACTCATCTGGGAAAGTAAATAGACTTATTAACTTGGGGGTGATGGCAATGAGAACAGTAACAACATTAACTGTAGCATCAACATACGAAAAACAACAGCAGCAGCAAAAACAGCAGTAACAACAACAGCAACGACATTAACACATCAAGTTTAACATCAACAGCATCAATAGCAACAGAAGCAACAGAAACAGCAACAGATGTAATAGCAATAGAAGCAACAGCAACAGAAGCAACAGAAACAGCAACAGAAGCAACAGCAACAGAATCCATAGCAAAAGAAGCAACAGCAACAGAAGCAACAGTTACAGAAGCAACAGCTACAGAAGCAACAGTTACAGAAGCAACAGCTACAGAAGCAACAGCAATAGAAGCAACAGCAACAGAAACAGAACTAACAGCAAGAGAAGCAACAGCAAGAGTTGCAACCGCAACAGAAGCAACAGCAATAGAAGCAACAGCAACAGAAACAGTAACAGCAAGAGTTGCAACAGCAACAGAATCAANAGAAGCAACAGCAACAGAAGCAACAGTTACAGAAGCAACAGCTACAGAAGCAACAGCTACAGAAGCAACAGCTACAGAAGCAACAGCTACAGAAGCAACAGCAATAGAAGCAACAGCAACAGAAACAGAACTAACAGCAAGAGTTGCAACCGCAACAGAAGCAACAGCAATAGAAGCAACAGCAACAGAAACAGTAACAGCAAGAGTTGCAACAGCAACAGAATCAACAGCAACAGAAGCAACAGCAACAGCAGACATAGCAATGTTTAACAGCAGCAAGAGCAATAGCAACACCAACAGCAGCAGAAACAACATCATCGACGACGACAGCAACAGCCTGAACAGCGGCAATAACAACTGAATGGAAGATGACATGTATGTAAAAAAGCATAAACGTTGTTCAATTAACAAAAAACCCTCGTCAACGACACTTGCGCCTAAATGGTCTATGTTACCTTCCTCATGGGCTCTTCTTGATCTCTTTAAATTCTCTGTAATTAAAAAAATAAACATGAAATATATCGTGATTATCAATGGAAAGGTGGGCTCGTTTCCTGGTGCTTAATAGGTCAAACGTCGAACTTCACATGAGCCGAACCTAGAACATCAAAGAAGACCGCCTTGATATCCATTGTTTCAATTAGGTTCGGCTCATGTGAAGTTCGACACTTGACCTGAGCCTTAGAGTAAGGTCAAACATCGAACTTCAGATGAGCCGAACCAAATGACGTCAAAGAAGACCGCCTTGTTATCCATTGTTTCAATTAGGTTCGGCTCATATGAAGTTCGAGGTTTGATCTGAGCCTTACCCTCCGTTGATCTCTTCTTATTATTGTTTTTCTTGTGATGTTCAACTGGCTCCTCATTTTCCAAGTCCGAACGAAGAACTCGAATAAGGGTCCTGTCGGAGTCACTGGAGTAAGCCGATTCTTTCCCTAAGGCGAACCAAATGGAACGTGAATCAGTAGTAATAAAGAATAATTATAAATTTGCAATTAGCTAGAGGAATTATGTTTTAGTCAAATCCACCTGGTCGGTCAAATATGTAAATGCAAACAAGTGTTGAATTAAAGTTAAATTTAGTGTTTTGGTTTTCAAAGCCCGCACTTTTCGAGACGTTACTAGTAGGCTATAACTTATAGCCTAGCTAGGTCATTCAATCATAACGCATCATTGATGATAGACCGATAGTTGGATATTTGGCTATAATCTGTTTAATCTGTATAAAGTGCTTCGTGTTCTTGTTCTTTGATAGTCTTCTTCTTCTTCTTCTTCTTCTTCTTCTTGGGAAGCATGGGTGGCGTAGCGGTGAGAGCGCGCGCCTCACACCAATGCGAGCCGGGTTGGAGTTCCCACGAGCTCGGTGTTGTATGTGAGTTGAGTTGTTTGTCGGTTCTCTCCTATGCTTCGAGGGTTTTCCGGGTTTTCCTCTCTCCTCGAAAACCAACTACTAAATTCTAATTCGATCCTAGGAGATATTCACGATAGGGATAACCTCAATATCTCCTTTCGCACTCACTGATGAGAATAAATTATTATTTTTTCCCTGATCTTCTTCTTCGTGTTTACTATTATCGCTAAATCAACAGTTATTTCTTCCTCTTCTCCTTCTTAAAATTTCTTATTCATCTTCAGTTTTCTTCTTCTTATCATTATCATTTTCTTCATCCTTGTTGTTACTCATCTTGACGTTAAGTATTCTTGCAACGAGCATGTATTCCTCACCAAAAATGTCCAATTATTCTATCACTATTTTCTATCAACACTCTTCTTCATCATTAGCATTATCATCTTCTTCATCTCTCGTTTTTCAAAACCTGATTTTCATAGTTAAAAAAATCTATACTGCCTAATTCCTTATTAGCTTTTCATTTAACATTTTTGAATGCTTTTTGAGACAGATTTTAAGCTGCATACATGAATAGTTGTTACAAATAGTGTTACGACGTATAAAATACGAAATATGGCAAACTTATCTCCTAAAGCGAAAATATTTATTCTAAGCAACACCAAAGTGGAAATATAATAATCAAAAACCCATAAAAGCTTCTTTAATTCATTCATTTTCGGTTATTTTATTTACTTCTTAATAAAAAGATAAATTCAAATTTCATTTCCTTTTCAAAATTTCAACCAGTTCATGAGATAATTTTATGGTTTAAAAATAAATTCTATATTGAAACACAAACAAATCGCCTTGAGTAATCGTTCCGTGATAGCTTCTCGCCTTTGAAATCACAATTCCAAATGTTCCAACAAAAAAACACAAAGTTATAGCATGAACTGTTTTCTATTTTATTTTTTTTTAAAGCGGACTAAATGATATCTTCAATTTTGAAAGATTCCGATAAATGTTATATTTAATTTTCATGCACTTCTATTGTTTTTGATTCTCATTTATTTAGAGATTAAAATGTTTTGGACCRAAAACAAACGATGTACAAATGTGAAAGGAATGTACCAATAACAAAAATATAATTTTATGCAATTGAAAGTAAAATTATAAGAAAAAGCATTTAATATCAGACAAGATAAAAACTGCTATTAGTTATTACGAATTAAATATAGTAAAATTTACTATGCAACTGAGTTTGCGAGGCAACTATCGGCATYTAAAATTAGTGGCTTGAAAGACCTATGTAGGCATCGGAAAATAGTTAATTCTATGGCTAGAATCTTGAATATACTAAATCATAAGAATTATTCGAGTTCGGAGAAGGGATACTAGATAGCTGTTTTGGTTTCGCTATAGATTTGGAGGTGAAGCGTTTTTCGTGAACACCAAAAGAAAACGAAGCAAAACATAAAACAAATCAAACATAAACATGGGAGTAAAATACACGCCAATATACGAATTTACTAGAAACACAAATTATTTTCTATCATTGAAATTAAGTTTGCATATTTATGTATTTGCACGCGTTTATATGTTTTCTCTCGCTACGGACTCAAGATATGAAGTTTGCTCATTCAACCCAGAAAGCAACAGGTAGCTSAATGAACTAAAATCGATAAGCAAACTTCAACTTTTTCCAGCGGATTTTTAAATTTGGAACTAAAAACCACGAGAAATTCATATATATTTAATGATAATGAATTTGGATCTTTCTTATCGTAAGAATGAAATGAAGAAAATTTATGAAGAGATTTTGTTGCAGTTTATAGGAAAGATTATGTCATTGGCAAGCATAAGTTAGTGACATCTCTCGGATGGGTTCACTTAGCTTGGTCGAAAAAATACAATAGAGGAAAAAATAATAAAATACTTACTTATCGAAGGCTTTGCCGATCCAAAAGCGACCAAGATCCCCAGGGCTAGGAGCCCTAAAAATATTTTCATTCTGTTTAAAGAATGTCCCAAAAAAACTTGGAARCTCTACGATCAACGATAGACCATCCCGTTCTCGCTACTTCCGATGAGCGATCACGAGATCTTGGCTCTGATTGGCTATTAACAGGAAGGGCGATCTCACTCATGAATATTAATGAGATGGAGGAGCCGGGATCAACAGGTACTGGATGGTGATTGGTCAGTTCTAATGAGGTAATTGTTTCTTAGTGATAACATGACGTTAGAGATTGGGAATTTAGTTTTTGATTCATTTTTGGAAGTTTACTTGCTTCAGGAAAGAGCGAGGTCACAAAATATTACAGATTTTCGTCCTTTGATTTTAGCTTTTTCCCCGTCTAATTTGAAATATATGTACAAAAAAAATCGGTTTTGAATCAATTGAAATTCAAGTTTTGTTTTTTCTATCCTTAACCAAAAACGTAATAAGATTGATAGCAACAATATAAACAAGGCTTTAAGCAGCRGTATTCGATGGTTTAGGAGTCCTACATCAGATATTGACGCTTATATTATTCAGAAAAGACTATAGAAAGCTACTGTCTTTTTTCCAGACGGATGAGAGGGAGTAAGGGCGTTTTTCTCTTGTGTTTTGTTTCGTGCTTGAAGAATTTTTGTTTTGTTTTCAGTGTCTAACTAACTGTTCRTGCACTAAATTTAGAGGTCATGCTTAGACAGTGTTTATAAACTGGCCGATTTTTTTCAATGTACCACCAGTCGACGACAAGAAAGAYCGCTCCATAGTTACTGTTGCTATGTTAAACGCACGGGAAAATGAGATAAACACGTGCGAGTTATCTTAATAAAATGAAGGGGAAACGCCTTGTGGGTCCAATACAATTTTGACGGCTTGATGACGAAATTTGCTGTAAATAAGACGACATTCCACGCAATCTCCAAAACTGGAAGAAATTGCTTTTTGTGCCACAGGAAATTAACAATATTACTACGGTATAAAAACAACCGAGGTGAAAATTTGGAATAAAAACGAACGGTTTCAAGTGCTCGCGATTTGCTGACGTAATTTATCGGCATGTTCTCTTATTTCCCCCGACTCTAGACCAATTAGAAAACATGAAAATTCACAATTGTGTTTAAAAAAACCGTAATAATTTACAGAACGGACAAAGACTTTAATTTGGAACGGGGTTACTGAGGAGAGATTATATCGTTGCAAAAATCTCAACTGATCCAACTGGCGTTATTGGTTTTCCCCTCGGTTTTCGTTTCGTTTTAAGTCGTAAACACCCTATCAGTTTCAAGAAACGAAAATACATCGCATGTGAAATAAAATAATAATAAACTATGTATGCTTTATAAGCACTAAATATGCTCAAAAAGTACTTAAACTACGCGAAAAATGCAAAAAATAAATAGTGATTTTCCTCAGACGTAAAACAGTTTCTAGCTTTAAATAGCTACGTGCTATAGAAAATGTATTGTTCGATGGATCTAAAGATGCCAAGATAAATAATAAAAAGTGAAACCAAAAAATAAAGACATTTTTACTTAGCAAGGTAATGTGAAGTTGAAAATCAACATTATGAGCGAACGAAAGACAAAAGGAAATAACTGTAGTATCCCACTTTCTACAGAATAAACATAAAGTAAAAATTTTAGAATTGGTCAAACAACGTTTCAAACGAGACATTTTTCGACCAAAAAAAAAAATTGTTTGAAACTATCAAAAGTTGTTTGATCGTCATTTTAAAATCTGTACTTAGTCTGCTAACATTCAGACTTTATTAGGATCAAAAAAAAACAAACACGGCCTATATCTACCATTGTAAAGTAGCATCTAAATTCAGAAAGAAATATATCTTCACGTATTCATTTTATTTCAAATGAAAGCGGAGAGAAAAGTGTGAAGGGAGAGAGAAAGAGGTGAGCGATTCCAGGTGAGCCATATAATAAAAGTGAGTTGAAATCAACATGAGAGTTGAGTGTGTATATATATTACTTACCTTCCAAACTGAATATTTTATGTTTTCGTCGTCATCTTTTAACACCAATATGATGTAGTAGGCCTTGATTGACTTTGCATCTGGTCTTCGTTTCCCACATTCTGTGTGCAGTGCATCTACTTGGTTGCTAAGCAACCACAAACCACGTGACTTCCTATTAATGACGGTTCACCTCTGAAAATTTTGGAAACTCGAGAGTACGTTGAAAGATAGCCACGTGACTGATATTTTTTTTTAACACAAAGCATAAAGTACTTGAAGACATGCATGATTGTAACCAAGA